TTCAGCCTATATTTTTTTTGTCTTTCAGTTGCGTGTATCACACCTTCTTCATTGTGCAATTCTTCTTCACATGACTTCAACAGGTGCCACCTCAGAGGGGGTTGTGGGGGTTGATTTTGAAGGGGGTCTGTATTGGCACTGGCTACCAAAAATGTTTCTAACCCCTTCAAAAACAGACCCCCAAGACCCTCTCTGAGTTGGACAGGCACGTGATAGGTCACATGATATATAGGGGCCACGCACCTCCTCTTTCAGAATTCAAAATGGAAAATATAGCTCTATGACAATGAGAGACGAGAGGCAGACGACTCCTCAACTCGACGGACAGTTCTCTTTCACTCGACGAATAGCTCCTCAACTCCCAACTCCGATGGCCGACTCTCTCAGCTCCTCCCTTTCACTCCGATGTCCTTAACTCCGACGCCCGACGCCCGACTCTCGACTCTCGACTCCTTCTCTCCCTCTCTTTCCATCTCATTCGATGGACGGACTCCTCCCCTTCACGCGGACGACAGGTCCTTCTGACGCCCTACTCTGTCCTCCCGAGTCCTGACTCCCTCTATTTCCATCCCATTGACAACGAGGTAATCTGGTGTATATATATATATCTATTTGCTGATTTGTCAATAGTTTGGCTATACATGATAAATCACAATTTGTAGCTCAATTTTAAATCTCAATTGTGTATCATTGAGATACATAACTACTGAGATGCAAAGCTATAGGCATAGCCATAGGAAGATTGAAAACTAAATTATATAGAATCTGATTTCTCAATAGTTTGGCTATACATGATAAACTGATTAGACTGATTAGTGCATATTCTGATAAACTGATTAAACTGATTAAACTCAATAGCATAGCCATAGGAAGATTGAAACTGATTAGACTGATTAGTGCATATTCACTGAACTTATACATAACTGATTAGTGCATATTCACTGAACTTATTGTCAACTTGAATGTAGAATAATTATGAGACTAAACATGGAATTGAGTATGGGAATTGAGCATGGCCTTTTGACATAGGAAGGAAGATTGAAAAAGTGGTGAATGTCCCTCTTAAATACAGTCTTTACTCCCTATATATCATGAGCTGAAATAATCTTTATTCACTAGTTTAATGAGGACAACTTGTTATTGCAGATGTCAAGTTCAATTGTCAACGGTAGTAGCTTAGATCGGTTGACGTACTTGAACAAAAATTGTCCTACATGTAATAAAAAGGCCACGATTCGAATTTCTGAGACCGATCGAAACAAAAACAAGTTATTCTACTCTTATAATGGTTGTGGTACTTTCACTGGATGATGTGTGCCTATGAATTCACAATGTGGAGATCATAAAATTCCAAGACAAGTAGAAAGAGAACTGCTAAGATCTATGACGGAACAACTTCAAGCTATGACCGAACAACAAAGATCTATGACGGAACAACTTCGAATTCAGAGTGCAAAGACGCAAAAAATAGAATTTCTGATGTTTGTGTTGCTTGTAATTGGTGTCTTATTACTTATGAAGATGTAATGTTAGTTAGAAGTAGAAATAGAAGTAGAAGTAGAAGTAGATTGAACTATGCTTTGTTGTGGAATGGAATATGTATTAGTAAGAAACAGTTTGTTATTTTTTAGTGGAATGGAAATGAATTGTTGAATTGTTGAATTGTTATTGTTGAATTGTTGAATGAAGATGTGGAATGAAGATGTGTTATTGTGGAATAAAGATGTGTTATTATTGAATTGTTGAAGCCTTGATGATTTTCACATACAGATGATTTTGGTGCATAGAATGGAAATGAACCAACATGGAATGATGTGTTATTGTTGAATTGTTGAAGCCTTGATGAGTTATTGTTGAAAATGAACCAACATGAACTGTGTTATTGTTGAATTATTGAGCATGAACCATGAACTGAACCATGAACTAGTTTGACACAGTTTGTGCATGAACCATGTCAGATTTTCTTACAGACAGATTTTTTACATATTTGAGCATGAACCATCACAGTTTGAGCATGAACCAGTTTTTTACAAATTTTTTATAGACAAATTTTTTACAGATTTGAGCATGAACCATGATAGTTTGAGCATGAATTATGACAGATTTTTTTACAAACAGGTTTTTTTACATATTTGAGCATGTAAGGATGTGAATCCCTTCCCAATGTAAGGACTTAAATAGCCAAACATGAACTAATTTTTGGCTCCTACAAAATAGAAAACTGGAATACAGATTTTGGCTCAGTTATTTTGAAATCATAACTGAAATCAAAATGTCAAACCATGATCTACTATGTGTGGTTTACTATGTCAGATGGTTCACTTGCAGATGGTTTGAAACTGAAATCATGGTTTGAAAAAATATCGCTTGAAAAAATAGTAAACCATCTGAAACCATAATTTCAAACTATGTCAGATGGTTTACTATTTTTTCACAACTGAAATCAGTTATACAGATCTATGTCAAACCATGAACTTGAAAACTGAAATCATAACTGGCTTTTGGAGGATGTGAACCTTGAACTGAAAAAATCAGATTTTGGCTCAAATATTGTCAAAATAGAAAACTAAAAAACAGATTTTTAATTTTTCAAAGACAGATTTTTAAAGACAGTTTGGCAGTGTGAACCATAAACTAAAAAAATCAGATTTTTTTAAAATACTGTCAAAATAGCAAACTAAAAAACAGATTTTTTTACAGGTTTCTTAAACCATGAACTTTCAAGAGAGATTTTGCATGAACTCTCAAAAAATCATACTCAAACACTGTCAAAATAGCAAATTGAAATAGATTTTTTTACAGATTTTTTTAAACCATCAATTGTGAACTCAAAATGCTAAAAGACAGATTGTCAAAATAAACCTTGAACTCAAAGACCAATCTTGCATAACCAATAAAGTGGGACTTAATAATAACCAATCTTGCAAATTCATACACAACATGTGTTACACATCTAACATGGGACTTAACATAATAAGTTTCAATCTCAAAAACAAAATGTCAATGTTCAATAAACTAGTCAAACATTTCTACAATGTCCATCATTCATTCCCGCTGTGCATGCATTAGAACCCGATGGGATTAGAGATCCAGGCCCAAACATCTGAGTTGGAGCACTTATCAAACTTCTCGGTGTGCCGCTTACAAAGTCCGATGGGATAAGAGATGTGCCTCCAATAGCATTTACGACATGTCATAATTGAAATAAAAAAGTACATGTTACAAAATATTTGTAAATGAAAACAAAAAATTGATGTAAAGTCGTCTTATGAACACATACCGGTGCATACACACTATTTTGCATGCCAACCATATAAGGATAATATGATGTATAAGCTTGGGCTTGAGCTTGAACTTGAACTTGAACTTGAGCTTAAGCTTCAACTTGAGCTTGAGCTTGAGCTTTAAATTGAAGCACCTTAGCAGCCTATATTGGTTCAAGAGTTTGTAAAAATGTACTTGAAAAGAGTTTGTTAAAAAAATTAAAAACAAGTTCAATTCAATATACAAGTTCAATTCAATATACAATTTACCGTTGCTTTTGTTTATTTTTTTGTCGTTGCCTTGAAGCGATTCACTATTTGATCTACTTTGGCAACCTTTCGTTTTGTAACTGGACGACCTCTTCACCGAACAACCAAAGGACTAACCACCTTCCTCGTACTAGCACCCGATGTACAACCGGTGGCAATCGAACTTTTTCTAGAAGATGGTATCCTATTAGTAGAAAGTAGTAAATTACTCCCATTACCCGATTCATCGTGCATGAATCTATCCTTCATTTCATCCAACCCAAGGTCTATTATTTTAATTTTCCGCTCCGAATTACCAGCAAGTTGTACAATGGCGATCAATTTCTTGTTCATCCTCTCGTAGCAACTTGTATTGAAATCATCCTCAAAGCCAGTGTATGTGGTTTTGATGCATGTGTACTCTCGAACCAAATCTTTCCTCCAACGCGGAAAAATGTACTTATTTGGCACCTCATTTATGCACCTTCTCACAAGCACCACGAGTGAGTGAGCACACATAATGCCTCTAAACTGAAACAATCGACACATACATTGAACTTCATATTCAATTTAATTAAAATACACAACAAAGTCCACATGCTTCATTTTGTCACAAACTACCATCGCTGCTTGGACATTATATGTACAAATTGCTCCATCCTCTTTGACAATCAAGGCCTGACAGTACACTAATCTTTTCAACTCTCCTTGAACTTCTTTGAATTTTGCATTGGTGTAGGCTTGCTAAAATTGCTTCTCAAAGCCATATGTAGTTAGATAATCAAACAATTTGTGTCGAGACTTGAAGTCTGATTTCTTCTCTTTCTCTACCTTACTTTTCAACGCATTGTCATATTGTTCAACAAATTGTTTTAATGTAGTCTTCGGGTTGACATATCCATCAAAAGATACATTCATGCTTCCACTTCGTTGTGTTGTTGACATCCCAGCCCAAAAAATGTCTTTAACATATACAGGAACCCATCAATGCCGCTCATGATATAGTACCCCCAACCACTCATTATCATAAAGATTGAATTTAGTAAGCATCTCTTCCCATTTTTCCTTAAATTTATCTCTTGTCAAACAATCATAAACTGCATTTTGCATAGCCAACTTTATGGGTTCATACTGAGCATATCCTTTCAACTTCTCCGGTATTTTCTTCATTACATGCCATAAGCACCATCGATACCGGGCCAGTGGAAAGACAATTTCTATACCATTTTGCATAGCTCTGCACTGATCAGTTATGATAGCTTTTGGAGGATTATTTGACATGCAACTTAACCACGACTTGAATAGCCAAACAAATGTGTCGGTGTCTTCACTAGATAACAATTCACAACCAAGCAAAATAGACTGTCCATGGTGATTGACTCCTACAAATGGAGCAAATGGCATGTCATATTTGTTCGTCAGATAAGTTGTCTCAAATGAAACAACATCTCCAAATGATTCATACATAGCCTGACTCCTTGCATAAGCTCAAAACAAGTTTCTAATGCGAAACTCCTCATCAACATCAATCACATAAAAGAATTTCTCACTATGTGCTTGCATCCACATAAAATAACTTTGAAGTGATTCGACATCACCTTCACCAAGCCTTAATCTTCTAGCTCTATTAATGTAATTCCTTGCATCGCGCTCATCAAATGTCAATGACTCGTATCCCCCTGCTTCAACAACCATTGAATGATAGTTCCTAGACACCCCAATCCCTGCTTGATCATTGATTTCTAATATTCTCTTCACAGGAGTACGAATTTTCTTATTCATTGCAAAATGACGAGAGTCGGTGGGAATCAAATCATGATTATGCTCAAGGTTAACTGTGGTTAACATATGTGTCCCATTCTTTTGTAGAGTACCTCATACCCTTGCTTTGCAACCAATTTTTGTGGACAAAGATGGCTTCAAAGGGTTCACTTCTGATTTCTTTTTTCTTTCCCCCGCTCGAGAACATTCAATTGCAAAGTTTTTTAATTGGCCATCATCTCCAAAATGTTGCGCTCTATGAGCTATAGAAAAGCCAACATGCTTAGCATATGCGACATAAAATGTGTACACTTCTTCCCTTGAGCTAAAACACATACCCTTCTTAGGTTCTTCAAGTTGTTCAACCTCATTTACTGAAGGATTGTCAACATCATTTGAATCAATCTCCATTTTATGAGAATCAAAAATGAAATTCGAATAGAATGATTTTAGAATAATTATTTTATAAGATGATTGGAAACTTTGAAACTGTTATGAAACTAATAATTTTAGTTGATAATAATTTTAGTCTATGAGCTATGAGCTATAAGATTATTTTAGCTGATAATAACTTTATGAGCTATAAGATTATTTTAGCTGATAATAATTTCAGTCTCGCCACAATGAATTTAAACCATGAAACTAATAGTGGCCTTTGTTTTGATCCCCAATGAATTTCAATGAAACTAATAAGAAATACAAACATTTCAACATCTGTATGTTATTGTTGAAATGAACCATCATTATTTATAAGATTATATGGCTAAATTAACCATATAGAAGATTATTCAAAAAGCTAATGGTAAAAGAAGATTTCGTCTACTATAGCTCATTTACTGTTCTTGAGCCATTTGACTAATATGGCTAAATTAACCAAGTGAAAATTATGATTTTCAAGCACTGGGATTAGAAAGTGAAACCATTAACACCAAAAGAAACTGAATATTCACAGAAGTAAAGTCATGCTTATAATGTACAGTCATTTATTTGCCAATAACCTACAAATAAATAATTAGCCAAAAACAAAGCAATTCTAAACACATTTAATGTTATATTAGAGCCCCAAATACGAGCCAAATGCATTACAAATTGCACATTAACATCACAACTCCTCTTTTCCACTCTTCTGTTTAGTTGAAATGTCTGTATTTCTTAATGAGTATTTCAACTTCTCCTTTTCACATACAGATGATTTCGATCCCCAATGTGTTATTGTTGAAATAAACCATCCTTTTTTATAAGATTATATACAGACATTTCACAGAGGATTGATCAATGTATGTAGATAGAGAGAGAGAGAGAGAGAGAGAGAGAGAGAGAGGGAGAATGATGGGTTTTCGAGTAACATTACCTGACAAAATGCTATCGGAATGCGATCAAAGATCCATAGAGCGAGATACAGAGAGTTATGGCTGGAGAGCTATGGCCGTCGACGGAGGAGAGCTATGGCGGACGTACGATGGAAGAGGGAAAAGGGAAGACGAACAGGGGTGGGGAAGAAGGAAATATCAGGGTCGACGTTGTGTAACTTCCCGCTTTTTTTTTTGTCTTTGTTTTCAGCCTATATTTTTTTTTGTCTTTCAGTTGCGTGTATCACACCTTCTTCATTGTGCAATTCTTCTTCACATGACTTCAGCAGGTGCCACCTTAGAGGGGGTCGTGGGGGTCGGTTTTGGAGGGGGTCTGTATCGCCACTGTAATTTTTAATATTAAAAATTATAAAAACACCAAGGGTATTTATAAAATTTTATAAAGTTAATTCCATCATTGAATAACAAAACAAACAAGAATTAGTAGTTGTCTAACCAACACAATTTTTCTTAGTTCACTCATTAATAATCCTCACACTAACAATTTTCTTACTAACAATCCCATCCAATTTAATTATGAAAACAAACGATCCCTAATATGGATGGCGCATGTTGGGCTAGGTTAATAATGAAATATTATTTTACAACAATAATTAAATATTTATCTTTACTTCATTTGTTCACTAGCAGTTAACTTATGCCATATGCGAAATAAGAGATTTTTTTTTTTTAAAATTATACTTGATAAATTATAGTTAAATTATTTATGTTTGTATTTATATATACATAGATATAAAATTATTTTTAAAAAATATGTTACAAGGTTTGCAATGCAAGTGAATAATATCAAAGCAGCTAATGATTAAAATTCATTTCAGGTATGGACCTCACTATACAAAAATTAGATCCAACTAACATATTATTTTTCTAATTAAATTTCTAGTAAAAAAAATTGGATTCGTAGACTTTTCCCAATAATTTTAGTCATTTTGTACTATATACAAAACTTTTTCATTATTTGCAAATAGTAATTGTGCCACACATTATTACATCCATGCATTTAAGAAATGCCAAAAATGATGTAGAGAGTGTATGGGCAGTGTAAAGTAGGTGCACCCAAGTTTAGGAAATTGGTAATTTGCATGCCAACACATCATGGAGGCCCTAATTGTACAAAGTAGTTGCAATAAATCTGGTACAGAAATTAATAAGAATCAATCAATTAAAGTAGTTTTGACTAGGCATAGGCCTCATTTGTCATGTACAAGTTAACTTATATGACTATATAAAGGGAGATATATAGATCAGTGGTATTTTGAATTTTTTATTTTATTTCATTTTTATAAATGCATAAAAAAGTTTAAGATTTTAATTATTAATATTTATAAAGTCACTATTGATTTGTAACAAAATTTTAAAAATATCACTGATGTGATATTTCTCCTTATATAAATTTGTCGGGAAATTTTATTAGGTGTGTACTATATGTATTTTTGGTTACGACTTTTGTATCCTTAGCTATGACTTAATGTGTTGTAAATTATGACATATTGTGTTATTAATTATGACATTATTTTAGTTATAATTCAAGAATTATTTAGTTATATCTTATGTGATGTTTGGTCATAACTCAATATTTTTTTTAATTGTTTTATAGTTATGATTCCTTTAATATTGAATTATGTCATTTATGATAATCAAACTCATAAATAATATAACTCACATATGGTAGCATTACCCAAACTTCTTGTTTGGTACAACTTTTGATATTTTGTAAATAAAGTTAAATTATTTGATTAAATAAGTTGTCATATAGCTTCTCGCTTCTTCTTCCTTTTTTTTTATTATTTAAATTATATATATATATATATTTATTGCACAAATTAAGTGTCCAAGAAAATAGTGTAAATCAAGAAAATGGATTTTATGGAATAAAACTATACATACATGGGACTAAATGGGTTAAAAAATTTCTTCATGGACTTCTTAGGTTAAAACACTTCTAAATTAGACTTATCAATAAAAATCCCTATTCAAAATGGCAACCAAACACTATTAGTTAATTTTTTTGAACAAATAAATTAAATAAATTAACTTATTAATATCACTAAAAGGACTCATATTAGATGGTGCGCCTTCCATTAAATAGGATGTTTCACTCAAATTATTCTATTTATTTTTTTGAATAATCTTACATGTATTAATTGATATATTAATTAATATATTAACAGATAATAGAATATAATTTTAAAAATTTTAAATATTTATAATTTATATAATGAGTGAAGTTATAATTTTAAAATAATAATATTAAATATATATCAATATATCAATTAAGACGTGTAAGGATTATCAATTGTTGTTTTAGTGGTTGGTTTTGTGTCCTTATACCTATTGTGTGCTATTATTTATGTGTGTGATTGAGTGGTCACGCACCACGCACGTCTACAACTTGACCAATCTTTGATACCATTTTTCCCTAGGCACTTTCAATAGTACAATCATGTCTTGAGATATGGATCTTGAAATTTTCACTACATTATGTATCTGAAAAGAGAAATATCCCATCTCAATTATTAGCTACAAAAATGCTTCCTATCCTCACTGGGGGTCGATCCCCAGTGAGGTGTCACTTCGGGATTGACTCAAAAAAAATAATTTTTTTTTTTTTTGTGTGTTTTCAGCGAATAGGGGGTCGCCACCTCACTGGGGGTCGACCCCCACTGGGTGTATGAATCACAACCGTATTAGCTATTACTTACAATTATATTTTTGATGAGGCGATAAATAATAATAATTATTTATTTATTTTTAAAGTGTGAGATTATTTTACATAAAAGTGAGTCATATTATTAAGCCTTGGTTTGGAATTATTTATTTATTTTTAAAGTGTGAGATTATTTTACATAAAAGTGAGTCATATTATTAAGCCTTGGTTTGGTTTGGTTTTTGAATTGGGACTAAATAAGTACATAATGACAAAAAAAAGTCACAAAATTATAAAATGACAAAACACTTAATTTTTGATGCAAAATTACCAAATTGACCCATATACAAACAAAAAGTCAAAAAAGCATCATTTCAAGTGGAGGGCAATTTTGTCATTCCAATGCCAAAAAGTCAAAAAAAGCTTAAACAAGAAAACCAAATAAACAAAAAAGTCTCAGGGTAAAAAAGTTAAAAAATCAAGTTTGCCAAACGACACCTAAGGGTAAAATTAGAAGTGCAAAATTTGAAGAATGTGCTACAAATCATCTAAAAATACATTACAACATAGGGATAATTTTATTTTTTATTTTTTTTTTATTATTTTTTTTTTAAGGAGAGATGATCCTTGCTTTATCTATAGTATTAGTAGGGATGTAAGATCCAATCATTGAGTGAAGATTCTTGCAAAGTTTCAATAAAAAAATTGAATCCGGCTACTGATAGCACTAAGATTCACAAATATCACAAATATCAAATATCAAAATATTTATAATATTTATAGATATTTTTACATGAAAAATGTTTGAGGGCCCGAAATTAATGGCTCGAATTTGGCTCGAAACGCAAAACGACGTCGTTTTGCGTTTCGAATCTTTTTTTTTCCCCCTTTTTCTTCCTTTTCTTTCTCCCCTTTTTCTTCCTTTTCTTTCTTTCTTTCTTTTCTTCTTCTTCTTCTTTGTTTGAACACAGGCGAGAGAGAAACAGAGGCGAGCACTACAGGAAAAAAGGGTTACGGTGGCGTTTTTTTAACGACGTTTCTTTAAACGTCACTGTTATTAACATTTAACGGCGTTTTATAAACGCCGCATATTCTTTTAACCAAAATGGCGCCGTTTTATAATAGGAGGCGTTGAAAAACGCCTCCGAATGCGGTGTACCGCACGCCCCTTCTCAATCCTTATTCTGTATCTAGCCCTCTCTCAACCCATACGCATACATCATTTTATCTGAGCCCCTCTCTCTCTCTCTCTCTCTCTCTCGCTCTCTCAACCCTCTCTAAGCTCTATCGAAGCAATTTCGAAGCTCCATCGAAGCTCTAGATCGAACCGATTTCGAAGCTCCGTTGAAGATTCAGTGATTTCCAGCGAAGATTCAGATATTCGAAGCTCCATC